GGGTTCTCCATTGCAGGGTCTACCTTCTTTGATTCACTTCTTGTTTCCATCAAAATTCAACTTGGATTCTGGTAAATCCCACTTCTGACACCAAATGTACCATTTTTGGCGATTTGCAGCGAAACGTGATCTGCCGGAAAACGGCCAATAGCGCAGTTATAGGAATAAAGAAATCTAAAACTATTGTATTTATCACTTGTGGCGGCATTATCCACCACCTCAAGACAGCCAAATATCTCGCCGCATAAGCGCTATGCCTTCTCGGTTCAAATATTACATCCAATAATAAAGACCGTATTCGCAAATCACAATTTTCATAGACCCCGTGCTCCACCAAAACCCCCCTGCAGTCCCAACTCAGCCCGTAGCATCGTTTACGTAAAAAAATGGAACTCGAGGACTTCCCTGCCCTTAATCCCACAGGCCCCCCGAAGTACCCCAAAACCTTTAACGCCGCGTTCCACCAATACATGGTGCAGCGGCTGACAGACCCCAAGGCCCAAAGGCCATTTTGACCCCCACGTCTGTCCCCACTTCGACTCCCCAAACCATCCCAAAACCAGCCATTGCTGTCGTCATCAGGAGTGTAACCGAATGGACTGTAAACATGGACACGGAAAGTCCGATCTCTTTCCTACAGAACCACTGCTCTTTTACTAACCCCAAAAATGGATCTCTGCGCATCCAGATCCACCGCCAATCCATCGATGACCACGGAGCAATCACTAAGCTCCGTTCGGGCGGAAAATTTGAGTTTCATACTCACACCCTTCTCCTGGATAAAGAACGCATCGCCATCATTCTTCTTTTTTGTGCCACACTCTCTCCGAGAGCGTTGGGGACCTCCCGGTCATACTTATGGAACACATCATCCACAATTAACAGGACCTACAGTTTATCGCCGGTTCCGAACAGCACTAGTTGATAGGTTTTTCTTGGCATAATACTTGCGACGCTGGCAGATTATCGCCGGTATATCAAAAGTTCGGCCACACAATTTCCAATTGGGCAAAACTGGTCTGCCACAAGTGTGCTCAAGAACACTTCTATCACGAATGTTAAAAAACCGAGATACATCCCGGCCAAATGTACTAATTGCAAAGCTCCCTACTCGGCAAGTGCCCCAAAACCCCAACTTCCTTACTCAAAACCAAGAAAAAGCTAAGCAGGCCAGTTTGCAAATCAAAGTTTCTACTGGCACCTCCTTCGTAGCGAAAGCGAGCCAAAAGACTGAACCCCCACAGGCCGCAGTTCAAAGTTCCCCAGTGTCAAAAGCCCCCCGCAGCCCCAAAAAAATCCCCACCGACCTACCAAAACAGCAGCCTGAGCACGGTCCTTATTTCGTTCCTGCTCTTACCTGAAAGTGAAAAACGACGTAAACATTGCGTTCCTCCAAGAAACTTTTCTTCATCCTGCCAGTTCTTTACAAGTTAACAACTACAAAATTTATCGTAACGACCGCCCCAAGAACCCAAGGGGCGACACTGCCATATTAATGAAAAACTACCTCTCCTGCAACACGATCCCCTCAATTACTAACACCTCAGTTCAACATACCTCACTAATTAACATGGAAAACTCCCAAATACTGATAATTTCGACATACAAACCCCTCAAGCTTTGCACATACCCACACGCCTACACAAACATTTTGAAGAAATGCATCCCCGCACTCCTCGCAGGAGATCTAAATTCCAAACAAACTTCTTCGAGTTTGCAAAGCATTAAACCCCGAGGACCGGAAACTTCTAAATTACGCAAAAAGGATGAACTTATAAACTCACGCTCCCTCAGGACCGACTCACTACCACTACAGAACTCCTGACATACTCGACATCGCCCTGACCAAAGACATTTACCGAACTTTTACTATGCAAAACTCCGACTACCTCAGTTCAGACCGTAAAATTAATCATTATTAACATAAACTAACAATCAAAACACTAACAACCTCCTCACTACAATATCCTACATCGACTAGGACGCCCTGTCAAACTGCCTTGGAGACGTTTAGACCCGGGACCTCTCTCCTCAAAATTTCTATAAACTGAACTAAACTGTATAATAGCTTATTTTACTGCAACAATTTCTTCAGCTCTTTCCAAAGCAACTACTCAAAAACAAAACTCTAACAAAAACCCAGTCACCCTTTCGCAAGAACTTAAAAGCGTAATTAAAACTAGCAATAGATTAAAAAGCAGGGCCAGACAATTTACTCATTGATGCTCAATTAAATCAAGAAGCCAACCGACTAAGCAAATAAATTCAAATTCAAAGAAGCAATTTAAAATACGTAAAGTGGTCCGAACTTTTGGAAAACCTCCCAACAGACGATCCGGTTGCCTGGAAAATATCCAAGGTCATGAGAAGCAAAACTCACACACATTTCCAGGAGGAAGTAAAAATCCTCAGCGAAATCGAACATCGACAAATTCCTCAGACGCCCCTCAAATTCCTCCAGTAACACTCACCGAACTACAAGCCTCCTAAAAAAAATATAAAACCGCCGGACCCGACCATATCACCAACAAAATCCTAAAACTCCTTTACGAAAAACTCCTCAACCAGATAAACGCCTCCTTTTCGCCAAAATTGGAGACCCACCAGCCTCCTCTCCTCGCTTTCGAAACTTGCCGAAAAACTTTTCCTTGGCCGCCTCCATGTCCAAACTTCCGAAAACCAATCAATTCGTCGAGAACAGTTGGGTTTGATTCAAAAACATGGTTCCTTTCTGCAAACAGTCAGGCAAATTCAAGATGTCACGATCGCTGTCCAGGAAAAGTGCTCCGCCTTAGTAATTTCCTTAAAACTCACAACTTTCCATTAGATTTCGTGCAGTATATGGCAAGCTATCTTCACAAGAGAAAGCTTTTTCACACTGCTAAACGGAACTAATTCCTCCACCCACTCCATGGTAGCAGGGCTCCCCATTCTCTCCAATCTCTTCACAGCTGATGTTCCAACCCTCACACCAAAATAGCCCTGTTCGCTGGTGACACGTGCCTTTATTATTATCGCAGAAACTTTAAATACATTACTTGCGCTCTACAACAGCATTTAAACAACTTCCAAGAGTGGGCCGGCACTTCCTCCACCCGAAAAAACTAAAGCCAAATTAATCACTAACATGCCCCGACACTTCCCGAAATAACTCGAAACACTCCAAAATTGTAACTAAACAACACTCAAATCGAATATACAAAATTACTTGAATATCTAGGCATTATAATCAACTCTAAACTAACTTTCGCCGAACATACAAACAAAATCATTACAAATGGTGCAGAAACTGGTTGAAATGGTTTAAAAGCTTGTAGCCTCTTTTAAAACACAAAAGCTTCAAAGCTAAAATCAAAATTCTTTTCTACATTTAAGTTATCCGAACTCAAATTTGTTACGCTCATCAGTGACAAACTAAACGTTCAACTCCAACATCATCAAACTCTAAACTTTCCAAAACAAACTCCTACGTAGAATTATTCATGCCTCTTGGCACACCCACAACTTCCAAATTCACGCAAACGTTGTAATGGAAACCATCTCAATACTACACCAAAAGTTCAAATCTAAACTAAACCTCATTAACCCCCTAATCAAAGAGAAATTCTCCCGAAAAATCTCCAAACACAACTTCCAAACTCCTACTAGCCTTATGGCAGACCCTCCCTGAGAACACCCGCGTAAAGCGGAAAGCAAATTGTCAAAATTTCAATATAAAAAAAAATGCTTTTTTCTTTTCCCAACTTAACCCAGTTTCACTAAGACCTAAATTTAACTAAACTATTCCAAAACTTTTTATTTTTATTTAATTTATTTTATTTAGTGTCTCTATTGGTTGGAAATCTGTCAATTAGTACGACGACGGATGAATTGACAGATCTCCAACCAATAGAAACACTTTCAAATCATCATATAAACGGATCCATTGGATTGAGGCTTTACTGTAAAAATACAAAGCATCCCAAAATATTCCCAAAGTTTAAAAAATTCTTGTAAATGAGTCAATGGTTTAATCGGAACCAAATCCCCACAAACGAAAATACACAATAAGCGAGTCAGTGTATATTCGACCAAAAGTTCTACATGTACATGGCAACTAGGGGCAAAGTAATGCTAAACTTACCGAAACCTGCGTAGTGCCACCTGGAAAGAAAGAAGAAAATTGGTTTAGTACAGCAAGATATCTGTTGCAAAGAAAAATCGAAGCTTATTTGAAATAGAGGTGTGCTAAACGGTTATTTTTCTGTAACAGGTTACAACGTCTCAGTTTCACCTTGGTAATAGGTTTCAAAGTGCGATTCCAAAAGGAACATGTTACTTTTTAAATTTTTCATTAAAAATGCAGAATGATGATGATAGTAGAAATAGTGATGATATATAATAGTTTCCTTTAGAGTAACTACTTAAAATTACTCCTTAGAAGTAACTACTTAAAGAACAAAAAACTGATAATGAACTAGAGTGATTAAATAAAATATACGGTTTAAATGCGAAAACGTTTAAAAATCGAATTTTTATTTAAAAATGGATTAACATTTAAGAATAAAATTGTTTGCAGATGCTTTTTATCGATTCTAGTTCTTCGCGCGTTTATGATAGCACCCGCTTTAGGAAACTGTATACTTCATTTACAATTTGGTTTGTATTTGATTCCTAATATAACTAAAGTTATGGAACATACCGCTTTTTATGCAGACTATTCTAAATAATCCACATGACTAAAATACACCCCTCATAGAGCACCTAATTCAGAAGACATGTTCATTTTAGATGGGAGATCGATGTTGTTTTCAGCGTCCACGATAATATTTTTCAAAGGCAATTTGTCCAAAATTCGTTTTCAAACAGATTCCGAAGTTTATAAAAGCAATTATGGGGTAGCTGACCCAAGGAATGTTTGGAAGCAGGCACCCTTTCAGTGATGAATATGCAGGTCCGTGCTTAATAAAAGATCAAAAGGCTCTGGCAAAAAAAACGTTCAAGTTTTAGGTGCTATTATTGTTCTGTCTGAAAGAGAAATAAACCCTTTTCTACTCATCAACCAGTTTTACATTTAGATTTGATCTTTCTTATAGAAATGTACACTTTTTTACAATGTATGTATTGACAAACAATTGGCATTAATTAATTTCGAATTTGACGAAAAGCTGAATAAAGCCAGCCAATTGAAAAATACGAATAATTGTTCTCAAGCGATTTCGGTTGTTTTTGAGTGTAAATGAGAACTAAATCTTACGAACAAAAGGTAAATTTACAAAAGCTAATTTACAATCAGCTGTTGTTAGAAACATATGTCTTATAAGTTTTACGTTGCCTTATTTTTGTATTTTTCCGCCATCAAAATAAAGGACTGGCATTTCTAAGCGTGCAGTGGGCTCAAAAATTATTACAAATGAGAGAGAAAGTGGTGGGAAGGAGCGAGTAATTCACGATAGATTAATTATACACTTCATTACAAAAGAATCTTCGTTTCATTGGGGTCCTTAGATTAAAAGCTTCAAAAAAACGGCAAAATGGATTTAATTTCAACGAATGATCAGTTCTAAAAAGAAAATTACAGTCTGGATGCAAACATTTTTAAAATAAACAAAATGCAGTTTCTATTGAAAATAAAAAAATTCAACAACATTTCAAAAGGGAAAACATTTTTTTTTATTCCATCATTTGTTTTACTTGCAAATAAGTGGTTTTCTTACCAATAAAACAATTTTGTATGAATTAAACGTATGTAGTAAATACAGGAGGGTTGCAAGACTTTTGAAAGTGAGTGTATTTTGCATCTTGAAAAAGATATTTTAACACAAAAAACGTCTCAAACATCGAGTTAGCTAAAGCCTGTCATGAGAACTAAAACGTGTCAGAATCGCGGCGCAACGAGATGGAAAAGTCACTGAAAAACACACAGAATCAGTAAAAAATTTGAACACCTTGGAAACATTTGAGGATTCAGCGCACGAAGTACGAATCGAAGATTTACATAATGTCCCACCCAAAAAGAAGTAGAATTTTAAAATCAAGAAGGGTGTCCGAAAAAGGTGCAACCAGCACTCAACGGGACAATTCTACAGCATAAATGAGCGTGACAAGTTGTTATAACACTTTTGCGAAAACGCGATAATAGAGAGATATTGGACGGTCAACAAGCTGATGCGGTAATATAGCTTTCACTATTTTCACACATACGCCTGCAAAAATCAGTTTGAAAAATAATTACTGCAATATTAAAGTACTGTTCTGCAGTATTTGTACCGCAATACTGCACGTAGTTAAAATCACTTCCTTGGAAAGGGAGTTTTTGAAACAATGTTTATTACGATTGATATGGATTTCAGCTTCAAGATACAATTGTTCGTTATTACAAGCTTGTGAGAATATATACTGAATTAATGCTGATGAGTTTACATGCTATCTGTGAAACTAAAGAACATTATGTACCTCGTAAGCATAATTAGATATTTCCTTATGCTTAGCTGCGAAATAGAATATCATGAATTTTTGAAGTTGGCTAAATAGGATATCATAACTCCTTCGGCCTTAGATGAAATTATATCATCAAAGTGACGTAATTTCATTTGAAAATTGAAGTTTTTTTAATTTCATTTGATTATTTTCCGATTTGGTCTTAAGTTTCTTACAAATCAATTTATGTAGTAAATAGCAACGAAATGCAAATAATGCGATGTATAATAATATAGTCCATATGCTAGTAAGGTTAACATATAGGGGTGTCTGCATTCTTTGTAGTTGGATTGCTTGGGTTCTCAGCTGGGCTTGGATGTCTTCTGTTGATTTCAGGTTCATGCTATTCAATTCAAGAGCAGGTGGATTGAATACTGCTTGAAGTGTTCTATTAGTGGTCCAAGTCAAATTAGGTAGGTTGACTTCTTGAAATTGTAGTTGCTTTAACTCAAAATTTTCAAATATTGGTGATTTGAATTGAGCGGTGCAACCAGGTGGTAAATCGATTAGGTATGTTCCTTTGATTGGAATAGTGTCTTGACGGTCTTGGCAGTTTGATTTGCCAATTACTTCTTCGGGTGCTGTGATTAACCATTTTCCATCGGCTACTTTGGTCGATTGGATTTCTTTAATTTTAACTTTGAATGGATGAAAAGTTGTGACGTTTGACTGGAACTTTATAAGTTGGACAGTGCAAGGTGGATGATTTCCTATCGTCTGGCTGATTGTTCGTTTACAAAGAAATTCATTAGTTTGTATTTCTGGACATTTTTCGTTATCAAATGAGTACTTTTTCTCACTAAGGGCCAGGTATGGTTTAAAGGGTATATTGACTAGAAAGGAATTGTTTTTGGGAGTTGGAGAAGGAAACAATTTGTAATATTGGTATGTTTCCGCCTCGACTAATGGAAGTTCTGAAATAAAAATTACTTCGAACTCCTGAAGCTTTTAACTTTTATCAAGTTTTCTAAATTTGTTATTTGTTGAGAATTGACATTAATTGGCAACTTCTCATTGTGTAGTTGGGGATGTAGTTGGTTGATTTCTCTTAGAAGTTCGGTTGGACTAGTTATTGAATTATGAAGAATATTGGTTTTTGAGAACGTTATGGCAACCTCTATTTTTGCCAAAGTATCATAGATTGATTGATACAGAAATGTGATTTGGTTAATTACTATGAAAATTCGAT